TTAGATTTGATGCATGTCAGATATTGATTTTCATATGACACACATTACCTGTCAATTGATCATCTGACATATATAAGTTTTAATCTGATGCAAGATCTTCAAAATCTAATCTAGTAATCTAGTAAAAGGCTATAAAAAAAACACTTTCTTTAACTTTGCCTTTCTTGTCTTCTTTTTTTCTTGAAACTTGGCTTGATCAACATTGGCTTTCATAGTTGACATTGGCTTTTGCAGTTGATGTTGGCTTTCATATTCGACATTCGCTTTACATTATATTTGGCATTAGCTTTATATCACATTTGGCATTGGCTTTATATTACATTTGGCAATTTCTTTACATTCAGCATTGGCTTAATTTTTTGGTATTATTTATTCTTAGATTTCAGTAAGTCTTCATTTTGCAGCACTTTGCCATGTTATAATTTTTTTTTTTTTTAGCCTTAACATTATAGTTCTGAACTTGTTTTTATCTCTCTTAAGCATTGCAATTTTCTTTTGCACTGCTTTATGATTTTGGTTTTGTTCTTGTCCCATTTAAGCATTTGCTTTTTTCTTTGGCATGCCTATAACTTGATCTTGTTCTGCCTTCTTTAAACATTGGCTTTGTTTAAGCACTAGCATTATTCTTTGGTGCTGCTTTATATCTTTGGTTTTTTTTTGCCTCATTTAAGTGTTTGCTTTTTTCTTTGGCAGGCCTATTGTTCATGTTCTTACTTTTCTTAAGTGTTGGTTTTGTTCTTTTATACTGTTATATAATTCTGGTCTTGTTCCTCTTCTTTAAACATTGACATTATTCTTTGATGCTGCTCTATAACTTCTTGTTTTCTTTAAGCAGGTTCTTTTTTTCTTTGATGTACTTATAACTTTGATTTTATTATTACTTTCTTTAAGCATTGGCTTTGTTCTTTGATGCTGTTATATAACTCTGACCTAGTTCTTGTCTCCTTTAAGTATTGGCTCTATTCTTTGGCACTGCTTTACAACTTTGATCTTGTTCTTATAAAGAATGACTACAATAATTGTGCATAAGAATAGGTGTATAATAAATAGTAAATCAATATTAATATCTAACAATAATATTTTACTTTTATCTAATAATTATGGTCTAGTATCTTTATCCAATAAATGTGATTTTGTGTCTTTGCTTAATAACTGTGATCTGATGTCTTTGCTTAATAACTGTGATCTGGTGTCTTTACTCAATAATTGTGATCTGGTTTCTTTACCCAATAAATATTGTCTAGTGTCTTCTCCAATAACTGTGATCTGGTGTCTTTACCCTAAAATCCAGTGTCTTTACATGATAATAATGGCAGTTATACTGTGCCTTCTTTCAATAACTATAATAATTATTCATGTGAATGCATATGAAAAAAAAAATTAAATTTATTGTAAATGCATATAAAAAGAAAAAAAAAAAGGATTCATTATGGGTGTATATGAAAAGAAAAAAATAGAAGCTTATTTTACAGACATAGTATTAAAAAGATGACTACAATGATTGTGCACAGAGAAGAGCACATAATAAATAGTGAACTGGTATTATCATCTAACAATAATGTTTTTTTTGTCTAATAAATATGGTTTATATTTTTACCCAATAATAACTTTGATCTGGTGTCTTTGCTCAATAACTGTGATCTGGTGTCTTCATCTAATAACTATAGTTTTGTGTCTTTATCCAATAACTGTGATCTGGTTCCTTTGCTCAAGAAATATGGTCTAGTGCCTTCGCTCAATAACTGTAGTCTGGTGTCTTCGCTCTGAAACCCAGTATCTTTATATGATAATAATGGCAGTTATACTATACCTTCTTCTAATAACTATAATAACTATTCATGTAGATGCATATGAAAAAAAAAAAATAGAATTCATTATTGGTGCATAAAAAAAAAAAAATTAGGATTCATTATAAGTGCATATGAAAAGAAAAAATAATAGAAGCTTATCTCACAGATATAGTATTAAAGAGATAATTATAATGATTGTGTATAGAGAAGGGGTACATAATAAATAGTGAACTGATATCATTATCTAACAATAATATTTTATTTTTGTCTAATAAATGTGGTCTATATCTTTGTCTAATAATAACTGTAATCTGGTATCTTCACTTAATAACTATAGTTTTGTGTCTTAGCCCAATAACTGTGATTTGGTTTCTTTATTTAAAAAATATAGTCTAGTGCCTTTACCCAATAACTGTGGTCTGGTGTCTTCACCCCAAAACTCAGTGTTTTTATATGGTAATAATGGCAGTTATACTGTGCTTTTTTTTAATAACTATAATAATTATTTACATAGATGTTGTTAGAGAGAAATCCAGTTAGAGCCATTGTGTAATAATTATCGAAAACGTAACCGAAAATGTGACCGGAATCACAAGCTGGATTGTGACCCAAAAATCAGCAATTGTGTAACCCAATTTCTTCCCATTGTATACAAAAGAAGCCCCAAGATTCAGAACAAGCACCCACGATTGTAAGCCTGGGCCCCACATGCATTAATTATCACTAAACCTAAAAAGGAAGTAAGACTTAGTAGAACATCATGATGTGCAACAAGGAAAAAGGTGTGATACTTACTTTCATGGGCTTACAACAGAGCCTTCAATCTGCAAAGACATTTAGAAAAATACGGCTGTAGCTCCATCAGCGAGACCTATGAAATAGAGAAGGTAATTAAAAGACAGAATTATGAGTTAAAAAGGTGGGATTATACAATTAGCAGAAAAGGAAACATTAAAGCAAGAAAGAGAGAATGTTCTCAAGTATACTTCCCTAATAATTCGTTATAAAAGCCCTCCGTTTTGTTGTTAAGTGGGAAGGACCCCCCATAACCCCCCTACAACCCCCTTGATCTTCCCCATGCTTGTAATTAAAAGAAAATTAATAAAAGAATAAAATAGCTTTATAAAAAATATAAAGTGTCAAGAGACACATACGTTCTTTTAATAAAAAGTACCAAGTGAAATAAACCTTTATTTGAAAAGTCCCTATACGTACCCAGTAATTTACTTAAGATCTGCCTTAGCCATTGCCAAATTGTATCTGCCTCGTCTTGCTTTCAAGTAATATTATGCAATGTTGACGATTCTGAAGTGACAATTCATCGCATTCACTTTATCCTTGGATCCACCTTGTTTCCCCGTAACAATTTGGTGGTGACTGTAAAATACGTAATGCCAGAGTAATAGTATAATGATGTCCCTACTATTCACCCTCCCGATAAAAAAGAAAAAGAGAGAAACGAATAAGTACTAGAAGAAAGAAAAGGAACTTAAAAAGTACTAGCAGATTTTAGACCATTTTGAGGAAACCTACCATTAGAGGAAGAAAAGAAAAGGAATTAGATAGCAAAGGTTAAGTCACCTGGCCGAAGTACTGTGCCTAAAGACAGAAAGAGAAGAAAACTTAGGAAGTACTAGTGGATTTGGAACCGTTTTGAGGAAACCTATCATTTTAGAAAGAAAAGAAAGGTTTAGAGTCACCTTGGACTGGGTCCTAAAGACAGAAAAAAAGGAACCCCAAATAAACAGTTGCGTCACCCTGGCCGAAGTACTGCACCTAAAAGACAGGAAAAAAAAAAAAAAAATTAATAATAATAAATAATTTAAATTAAGAAAAAAAAATAATAATAATTATAATAGGAAATGCTCAATATTTACCCACTGCTGATGATTAACCAACCCCAAAGGAAAGTCGAAGCCCGAACGATAAAAACACCAACATCACAAGCCTTATGGACCTTTCAATCGACCTGCCGAAGTCCTCGATGAAGGATTTGGTGCTCCTATTGTAAAAAAAAGAACTATGACATTAGCAGGTGTCCAAAGATAAAAAGAATGTAACTGGAATGTCTGAAATTGTTGAACGCTCTTACCTAAGAACAAGCCGCAAAAATTCAGAAAATGGTGGATGAAACCATAAATAATCATAGTTTCAATGACCCACAAGCCCTGGAATGATTTTTATATATATTAAAGGATGTTAGCCTAGATAACAACCCAGATAACGATGACAAAGAAGGTATTATATACCTCCCCTCGCATATTCAATTGGCCCTACCTGTGGAAAAAGAAAATCCATTCTTCATGCCTCCAGTAATTCCAAGTCCAGAAGTTCTCTCAACATCGTCCTGTTACGAGAAGGACCCGATTGATGAATTAATAGACCTCTATCTTGCACCAGAAGTAGAGGATGATAATTCTAACACCGAAGTCCACCTGGAGAGCCCGATCGATGGATATTCAGAAGCACTAGACTTTGCAAAACCCAAACCTGAACCTGCCAACCATGGGTACCATTATCAAAATGAAACTGGCATTGAAAGGGTAAAAATGAACACTGCGATAACCACCTGCAACCATGTGAGTTCGGCTCTTCTGTTATCACGTATAACATTGGACATTGCTATAAAAATGGGATTGGTGTTGAAAAGGATAAATACAAGGCATTGAGATGTTATCAAAAGTCTACTGACCCAGAGTATGCTAGAAGGAAATGTAATGTTGGTTACTGTTGTAAAACTGGAATTGATATTAAAAAAGATGAACAGGAAGCCTTCATTTATTATCAAAGACCTGCTGACATGAGTAACACTAATAGTGTGTATTATGTTGGTTATTGTTACCAAAACAGGAATGAAGTTCAAAAAGATGAACGTAAGACATTCGAATACTATAAAAAACCTGTGGATATGGGATATACAAAAGAAGTATGTAAAGTTGGGCATTGTTACTACAACAGAATTGATGTTAAGAAACATGAACAGCAAACACTTACTTGGTATAGAAAGGAAGCCAGAATATTCGAAGTTGGTTACTGTTGTCCAACTGGGTTGACTGCTGAGAAAATCATTGAAAAGGCTCCTGCTATGCAAGTTCGTCGATGAATTCCGTTAGAAAACCTGGACAAGGCCTGTGAAGAGTGGATCAAAAGAGTTTATGAGTTCAAAATGTCAATGCAAGACAACACAAAAATGATGAAAAAAGCTACCTAATGAAGCCTGACAATCATTACGAGAAAGGAGTGTGTGAAAGGTGTTTAGAATGTGTAGCAAGTGAACAATTCACTCAAAAACTAGAAAAAAGGAAAAGAGCCATCTTAATGTATACGTGGCGGGAGGTCGTGTTACGGAAACCTTGGCCTAATAAAGATAAGGGGAAGATAGGATTAGTGAAGTGGGACAAAGGCCAAACTACTGGGAAGAGACGAATGAAAGGAGCCCCACTGTACTTACCGCAGAAGAACAAAACCCTAATATTTGATCCTGGTGGAAAATTCAATTAAAGAAAGCAATAATATTGGTAAAGACCAGACTAAAGCACCCCACATCCGATTTTTCATATGGAAGTGAAAAACTAAGAAGAAAAGAATTGTTAGAAGGAAATCCGGTTAGAGCCATTGTGTAATGATCATCGAAAATGTGCCCAAAAACGTGACCAGAATCACAAGCTGGATCGTGACCCAAAAATCAGCAATTGTGTAACCTGATTTCTCCCCATTGTATGCAAAAGAAGCCCCAAGATTCGGAACAAGCATCCACGATTGTAAGCCTGTGCCCTACATGCATCAATTATCGCTAAACCTAAAAAGGAAGTAAGACTTAGTAGAACCATCATGATATGCAACAAGGAAAAAGGTGTGATACTTACTTTTACAGGCTTACAACAGAGCCTTCAATCCACAAAGACATTTAGGGAAATGCGGCTGTAGCTCCATCAGCAGAACCTATAAAATAGAGAAGGTAATTAAAAGACAGAATCATGAGTTAAAAAGGTGAGATTATACAATTAGCAGAAAAGTAAACATTAAAGCAAGAAAGGAAGAATGTTCTCAAGTATACTTCTCTGATAATTCGTTATAAAATCCCTCTGTTTTGTTGTTAAGTGGGAAGGACCCCCATAACCCCTCCCACGACCCTCTTGACCTTCCCCACACTTGTAATTAAAAGAAAATTAATAAAAGAATAAAACAGCTTTATAAAAAATATAAAGTGTCAAGAGACACATATGTTCTTTTAATAAAAAGTACCAAATGAAATAAATGTTCATTTGAAAAGTCCCTATACGTACTCAGTAACTTACTCGAGAGCTGCCTTAGCCATTGCCAAATCATATCTGCCTCGTCTTGCTTTTGAGTAACATTACGCGACATCGATAATTATGGAGTGACAATTCGTCGCATTCGCTCCATCCTTGAATCTGCCTTATTTCCCCGTGACAATGTGTATGAAAAAAAAAATAGAATCCATTGTGAGTACATAAGAAAAAGAAAATAAAAAGAATTCATTGTGGATGCACATGAAAAGAAAAAAAATAGAAGCTTATTTTATAAACATAGTATTAAAGAGATGACTATGATGATTGCATACAGAGAAGAGGCATATAATAAATAGTGAACTGGTATCATTATCTAACATTAATTTTTTACTTTTGTCTAATAATTGTGGTCTAGTATCTTTACCCAATAACTGTAGTTTTGTGACTTTGTCTAATAACTATAATCCGGTATCTTCACTCAATAACTGTGATCTGGTTTCTTTGTTCAATAACTATAGTTTTGTGTTTTCACCCAAAACCCAGTGTTTTTATATAGTAATAATAGCAGTTATACTGTGCTTTCTTCCAATTAATAATTATTCACATGGATACATATGAAATAGAATTCATTGTAGATGCATATAAAAAAAAAAATAAGATTCATTATAGATGTATATGAAAAAAAAAAAAATAGAAGCTCATCTCATAGACATAGTATTAAAGGGATGATTATGACAATTGTATGCAGGGAAGGGGCATATAATAAATAGTAAACTAGTATTATTATCTAACAATAATGGTTTGCTTTTGTCTAATAAATGTGATATATTTTTGCTCAATAATTATGGTTTTGTGTCTTCACTCAATAACTGTGATCTGGTGTCTTTGTCCAATAATTATGATTTTGTAACTTTGCCTAATAATTGTAATCTAGTTTCTTTAAAGTTTTGTAATAATCTTTGCAATTTAATATAGTTAAATTTAAATTTTTTTTAAAGATATAATTTCATAACTCTTAACAAATATGTTTATAATTTACATTTATTTATTATTTATCTTTTCAAAATTTTCTAAATTTATAATAATTTAATATTTTGAAATTCTATGATATTAGAAACTAATAAGTTTGTAAATATTGAAAGTTAATATTGTTAATAGTTTGGTTTGGTTATAAACCAATGAAATAAATTTAAAATTAAACTAAATTGGTTTAATTATTTTACTTTTAGTTTATATTTTAATTTATATTTCAGTTTATACTTTAGTTTATACTTTAGTTTATATTTTAGTTATATTTCAGTTTATATTTTAGTTTATATTTCAGTTTATATTTTATTTTATACTTTAGTTTTATATTTTAGTTCATATTTTAGTTTGTATTTTAGTTATACTTTAGTTTATATTTTAAAGCAATATTTTGGTCTATACTTCAGTTTATACATTAGAACAATACTTTAAAACAATTTTAAAAAAATAAACTCAAATTAATATTAACATTATTTAATAAAATTTAAAAAGATCTAATAATATAAATAATATAATATTTTTAAAAATGTGAAAACAATTTTAATAATAATAAAAATAAAATAATTAAATTAAGATACTTTTGTATTTTTTTTTTTTTGCTTTCGTTAAGGTTGTGGTTATTAGCAGCTACTGCCTTTATTGTATTTTTAATTATGATTACATAATTTGTACAAGGTAAGTGTACACTAGTTACTTGTACAACTTTTAGTTGTCTAATTTAAGTAGTCCACTCACATAACAGGTTCTATAATAGTTACTATACTTGCAATCTACTAGGAGATTACCTATTTTAAACATTCTAATCTCTATACTATATGAGTGACGAAAAGGGAAAACCTGTAAATCATCTCACTCAACGAGTGAAATAATTTACAGGTTTTCTCTTTTCGTCACTCATATTGACAGATAGCATACAAGTTCTTATACACCTATTTATATACTATCTAAACTAACCTTGACTTTTCTTCTGTACATCTGTTAAGCCATTATACATTTCAGAATATATTATCTAATGGTAAGACTCAAGTATGTTTCTCTGCTAACTAACTACTCACATTTAATTCTTATTAACAGAGCTTACTTTTGCAGAGTTTATTTAGACCCTAGCATTAATTTCATAGCATATTTCTAGTACTTATAGTAGACCTTTACTTCTGATCTCAAACTTCCAATTTAGATAGTCCAAAAGAATTATAACCTGTTTCTAATACTCTAGAGTTTGCCTTCCAAGGTTCTTTTTCTCTGGTTTAAGACTTTTAATAGTCTGGTTGGTAGTATCCCTTATCTGAAATTCTTGCTTGCTTGATTTTTTCTATATTAGTATTCATTTTCTAGATCTAGTCTTTATAGTAGTACTGTCAAAGATTTATGCTATCTCTCTACTTTAGTCTTTTCAAGTGGGCTTCAGCTTTCTAGTTTATGGATTTACATAGCTACAAGGACTTATCTTGAATTTGCACTGCCTGATGCCAGTTTGCATTCCTCTATGTAACTTCAATATTGTGCAAATGCTCTATGATCTGCCAGTCATGCTGGTATAACCATGTTATAGATATCTTATTTTAACTGATCAACAGAATACCATCACTATAATATCATCTATATATTATATAAAAGATTGTTCAAATTTTTACTATTGGTAGGTTTTGAACTTACTATTTACGACTTGGAAAGTTAACAACTTATTCACTTTACTAAGTCATTACATCTCTATATTTTATTAAATATAAAATATTTCAATTTAGTTATTATTTAAATATGAAGTATTTCATATAAAAAAAGATTATATTTATATTTTTAAAATTTTTTTATTTATTTTTTTTCTAATAAATATGTATTTAAAAAAAAAATTTACTATAAGTTACAATTATATATTACATAATAAGAAAATAGATGAGATGTAAAAAACTTAAATCATTATAAAAATCTAAAAATAGAAATTAATAATGTATGGCTCTTTAAGAATCTAATAAAAAATTCTAGAGCTGTAGATCTTTGAAAAGTTAAAGTAATATCCAATTACTAAAAAATGAAATAAAGTTTTTATTTAAATACAAATTTTTCTCTTAAATATAAAGTTTATTAAATTAAATTTTCTGATTTTAGTATTTTTAATTTTTTTTAGTTTATTGTTTTTTTTTTGGTATTATACTAATAATTTTTTTTTTTGGTATTAAGGTGACCTCTTTGATATTTTAACTTTTATTAATCACTTATCAGTATTGTAGTTCAATGAACCATTACAGAAGAGTATACAATTAGCTACATGTTTAACTTTTCTATATTACCTATTTAAGGAGTCTGCCTGAAGATTTCTCACTAATGCTGTACCTAAAATCCCTGCTTGAGTGTTCTACTTTAAACCTTCTGAACCAGTAATCTGTATTAGTATTATTATGTCATACCCAGATATCCAGATCATTATCTTAACCTTAGGACTAATTTATCCTCGAGGTAAATCTTCCAGAGCCTTCTGTATCTATTTTTATAGCTGATCTAGATATCACTATGGCAGAACCAACACTTGTAGTTAGGGCTAACCATTAAACTACTATGTCTTTGTAGAGTTCACTTAGACTCCAGCATCTACTTTACAGCATAACCCTGGTACTTTAGTATATCTTTGTCTTTTCTTCTGCCTTTTTACCAAACTTCCAATTCAAATAGCCTGTATAGAACTATAACCAATCTATCAGTGTATCAGGTCAGCCCAATATCCTTTTTCTCTAGTTCATTCTAATGATCTGGTTGGTAGTACTCTCAAGACTCCCAACCTGGAGGTCTTGTTTGTTTGACTACTATAACCAGGTACTAGACCTTGGTATCCATTTTTCTAGGCTAGCCTTTACAGTAAAGCCATTAAAGATCCAGCTACTTTTCTACTTGGGTCTTCTTAAATGAACTTCTTGTTACCTAATTTCAACAGATTTATATAGCCACAAGAACTTATTTAGTATTTGCACTGCCTGATCTGTCAGTTTGCTTTCTCTGTATAACTCCAATATTGCACAGATGCCCTATAACCTGCTAGTTATGCTGGTGTAACCGCCATTACAGATATCCTAACCCAATCATTAGTAACAGTTGCTATAATATGAATATTACATAGCATTATTCAAATTTTTGTCATCAATGAGATTTGAACATCCAATATACCACTTGGAAGGTTGACAACCTGATCACTTCACTAGGTTGCCATA